TCCCTGGTTCGATCCCTGGTTTCGGCAATTACTTTTGATATTAGAAGATATAGAGATATAAATCTTATTATCAATGATGGTTTAACTTACCAAAAGTGTAAATTTTAAAAATTGAGATATATCGGAACGAAATAGTTATCAGTTATGACTTCAAAATGTATATATTGTATATCTATCAATGTATTTTATATAATGGTTTTATATAGATTTCTTGTCGATTTAAAAGTTCTCGAGGATATAAACATGAATATAAATATATAATTTAATTCATAGTATTATTGAATACGATTTAAAATTGTAAATTTAATTCTACCCGAAGAAAGGAAACAAAAAAAAAGAAAATTGTAAAATTAAAAAGGAGCAGGATGAATGCAGATCGCCAATAATTGTAATTCCGTTCGAATCTTTGGGAGGGAAGTGCCTTTAAAATAAAGCAAATCCATTAGAAAAAGAAGTAAAATAAAAAAAAATGAAATAACTGGAGCGAGGAAACGAAATGAAAGGAAAGAAGCGAAGGAAGGGAACGGGAGAAAAATAATAATGGGAACCATTGAAGCGTGTCGACGATAGGACGCGGAATCGGAAAAGGACATTCGGTCCGGGAGTCCGGGAAGGAAGGACTCTTTCCTCTTCCGGGAACCCAATCAACTGGTCCAGGATTAACTGCTCCGCCTGAACCCCGCGCCTCCGCCGACAACCACTCCTCCTCCGTCTTTGCATTTGCAAATTTTCCGGATTTTTTTTTTGTTGCTTTCCGCTTTCGGTGGAAGGACAGACAATGGGTGGATCGGATCGGGGAAAACGTCGTCCGATAGACGTGTCAGATTCGCGCTTTTGGCTTTGGTTTTTAGGTTTTGCATTGTTGTCCGGAGGGTTCCAATCCACGCGCGCTCCGAACATACGTAGATAACGACGAACGTATCCCAAAATCGGATAACAGGAGAATTCCATTAAACGATCGTTCATATTCCGCGTTTTCATTTACTAATATTCAATGGGGATGTCAATCATGCTGTTAAGATAATTTTAACTTGACAGTATTATGTGTGTGTATGTGCTTCCAAAATAATATCGCTAGGGGTGGAGGAGACACTTCTTTCTCCCTCTTTCTTTCTCTCTCTCTCACACACACACACAATCTCTCTATCTTTCTCTACACTTTTTTTTACATTTCCACCCTTTCTCCGCCTCCCCCAACTCTGCTGGATGGAACAAGGTTTTGACTGGAGGTGCGAGCGCATGTTTAGCTGCCGTTCTGCTTTCCGAGCACGCAATCCGATTGTTATTCACGCGGCTCACACAAATTTTGCCGTGATTGTAACACTATAGATCAAAGGAAACCTCCCTCCAACGCATTAACCCCTCAAAACATGCCTCATCATCCCTCCTACATACCCATCGGGCTAGGTATTATCATAATGGGGCAATCACATAACATTTACAAAACAATACCGGGGAGCTTCTTCAATCCACGATTAGATTTTATTTATTTTCATTTTACTTTTCCCTCCTAAGCATATATATATATATATATATATATATCTCATCTCGATGATAGCGATGCGAGAGAGGATGGAATTGATCCTGCGGAAAGGATTCCCGTGTCGGTTTCCGCATCACCGGACACTCAAACACACGGTACAAGTGAGCCGTGGAAACTAAACCCGCTGAAGCAAATGCCGTCGCCCCAGCACAATCACCGATCAGCAAAATAAAAGCCATTTGACTTCCAAACCCTTGTTTTCCCTTTATATTCCTATTTCGTTTCTACTTTATTTAGTATGACTAGTTTTCTATTTGTATTTTATTTATATTTTAAATCATTCTATACATTTTGTGTCTTTGTTCTAGGTTATGGTACAAACAGTTTATCCGGAATGACAAAAGCATCATTAGATCCACATGGACATTTACGTCAACCAGGCAAGTATTTTATAATTCTATGTTTGATCCTAAAAATTAAAAAAAAAAAAACTTAGTTCGTAAGAGGAATAAATGGAGATATATTTATAAGCCGAAATAGCTCAGTTGGGAGAGCGTTAGACTGAAGATCTAAAGGTCCCTGGTTCGATCCCTGGTTTCGGCAATTCCTTTTGTTATTAGAAGATCTAGAGATACATATCTTGCGAACTGTGAGGCTGTTACTTTCCGGAAATGCAACTGTCAAAAATTGAGATATATCTGGCCGAAATAGCTCAGTTGGGAGAGCGTTAGACTGAAGATCTAAAGGTCCCTGGTTCGATCCCTGGTTTCGGCAATTACTTTTGATACTAGAAGATCTAGAGATACAAATTCTTGTTATCTTTGATGCTGTACTTTCCGGAAGTGCAACTGTCAGAAATTGAGATATATCCGGCCGAAATAGCTCAGTTGGGAGAGCGTTAGACTGAAGATCTAAAGGTCCCTGGTTCGATCCCTGGTTTCGGCAATTAGTTTTGATACTAGAAGATCTGGAGATACAAATTTTGTTATCTTTGATGCTGTTACTTTCCGGAAGTGCAACTGTCAGAAATTGAGATATATCCGGCCGAAATAGCTCAGTTGGGAGAGCGTTAGACTGAAGATCTAAAGGTCCCTGGTTCGATCCCTGGTTTCGGCAATTCCTTTTGTTATTAGAAGATCTAGAGATACAAATTGTGCGAACTTAATGCTGTACTTTCCGGAAATGCAACTGTCAAAAATTGAGATATATCCGGCCGAAATAGCTCAGTTGGGAGAGCGTTAGACTGAAGATCTAAAGGTCCCTGGTTCGATCCCTGGTTTCGGCAATTAGTTTTGATACTAAAAGATCTCGAGATACATATCTTGTTATCTTTGATGCTGTAACTTTCCGGAAATGCAAATGTCAAAAATTGAGATATATCTGGCCGAAATAGCTCAGTTGGGAGAGCGTTAGACTGAAGATCTAAAGGTCCCTGGTTCGATCCCTGGTTTCGGCAATTAGTTTTGATACTAGAAGATCTGGAGATACACATCTTGTTAACTTTGATGCTGTTACTTCCGGAAGTGCAACTGTCAGAAATTGAGATATATCCGGCCGAAATAGCTCAGTTGGGAGAGCGTTAGACTGAAGATCTAAAGGTCCCTGGTTCGATCCCTGGTTTCGGCAATTACTTTTAATAATAGAAGATCTAGAGATGTATTAACTATGATGTAGAGATTTTCCTAGAGAGGCAAGTATCATTAAATGAAATATGTTGAAAAAATACATGAAAAAAGTTTATATCAAAGTTAATTTATAAATATAGTATGAAAGACAACAATAAGTCTATTGCTATCTGATAGCTCGTGTGAGATATATTATACAACAAATCTACTTCTTTTTCGTTTGATGTTATTTGTTTTTTTGTTGTATTCTATTTTTCAACTTGTACGTGCGTCTGAAAAATATAACCGTAAAACGAATAAAAAAGTAAAATAAAGGATCGTGTCCTTTATCTGATGTGCGACGACGAGTGTGCACTGGTTGGTGGTATAGTCTGCGATTTATTGTGTAGAATGTGTGTGGCAGGGTGGATGAAGTGTGGCCGTCTCGCACGGTTGGCTCCAAGGCGCCACCGCATGACAGCTCAACCCCTAATACAAGGGGTGAACAACAAGCCGAGACGTCAAACATATTACATTACACCGTCAGCCACTGTGCAGAATATCTGATCAGATCTGAAGAAATCGAAGTCCACGAGAGAGAGTGAGAATTTGTCTTTGCACGAAATTCGAGACGAACGGATCGATGCGACGTAATGAAAGAATGATTGCCGACGAAAAGACTTGTGCCTCGAATAGGGTGAGAGAAAGAGGGAGGTAATTATTGAATCAATCGTCGAGTTATTGGACCCCTGGGTCGAACGTCCCCAAGGAACGAAACATAAGGGAGGTTGGTTTTATCCCTCGAGGGTGAGATTAAGCCAGGGTTATTAAAATCAAGGTAAAGCATGACATCGAAAGACTTATCTCGAAGAATCGTCTTGGATTGGCGTGAGCACGCGACGTTCGTCCCAGATGATAAAAGCAATGGTAGCTAGCGACAATGACGATGGGTCAAGGCTTACGATGTTTGCGCGTTCGATCATAAGGGAATATTCGGCAAATCATCGATGTTTGCACAGCAAGGTCACATGCATTAGCCGCCTCGGGCCTCCGCAAATAAAGCACCCGTCGTCCGCAAATATTTACACAAACAACCCACCCCAACCCCAACATACTTGCATGACCATTTGAAAAACCTGCAGCCGAAAATCAACGGTGATGGTAATAATAGTAACGATTGGTTCTGAGCTTCGCGTGTTCCGGTTTAATGAGAGAAAGTTGAAAGAAAATGGCCGTGTTACCATCGTAAACATAACATGTTTACGGCTGGAAATGGGTAAAAAAAAAATTACAAAAAAAAAAACGAAAGGAATTATGTCCATCCGAGTTGTGTAGGGGATTGGAGCGCTAGTTTCTTGATTGCGTTTAATAGAAGCCCCGGAACAAAAGCACTAAACACTTTCTTTCTCCTCGCTTCTTTCTTTTTCTTTTGCACCCCCTGTTTGTATCACGTCTGCATCTAAATAGTGAACGAACGTCGGTCTAAAGGGCTCTCGTCTCGCGGCAAATTGAAGTGGTAGAAAGGGTTTTTTCTCGCGCGCCCGTAACCACCCCCCATTCGCCATACGAAATCTACCCTCCGGGTGTCTTTGATTGACCCAAAGCACCTAATTACTTTTATTCGCCACACACTGGATCCTTTATTGAATGAATGAGTGGACGAGTGGACGAAACACACGCCGTGTGTTCATTACTCCGTTCGCAAATTAAATTACACCCCTTCGCCAAACACCGGCAAAAAGAACGTTCTTCAGATGAGAGCCTGATTTCCTGCTCAACAATTTCAATTCCTATTTGCAATCCACTTTGCAATTGTATCTAATTGCTGTCCATTTATTTACAGATCCTTACCAGATGTTTGGACCGACGAGCAGCAGACTAGCTAGTTCAGGTAAATATCAATACTGATTTCATTTTAGAAACTAAATAATCAAACGCAGACAACCTGAATATGCGTAACGCAAAGTGCGATAAACAAAGGATTTCAATATTTCTCAACCTGGACTCGCTATAATTAGTCTACACTTCCCACGATTACTTTCTGCGGTTATCGCGAGAACAGATCGCGAGATTATGATCAACCGCCCCCGCGGCACGACCCTTGCAACGACGGCAGCAGGAGAACCACCCTTCGATAATTTAAATCGCATTAAAAACAGCGCCGCATTAAAATTGAATCACGAAACCTCTTATAGCATCGAAATGGTAGCTAATAGTAACCGATGATAAGAAAACTTGCCGAGAGTAACAAAAAAGAAAACGATTTATATTATATGTATATATAATATAATTACACATATACATATTAAAATTGGAATTTTTAGTTTGTATTGAATAAAGCGACGGAGCCAACCCTTTTCTTGTACACACACCGCAAATCGTTTTTCGAAATAGCAATCTCAGGTTATTAATCTCTGAACCATAAACTTGGCCAGTCGATAATGCGCGGATTTAAATTTTTCTTCATTATTAAAATGCATTTTAAATTGAAAATCTTATCGCTGAGAGAAAATAATGGCGAGTTTGAATATTATTTAGATCGAATTATTTATAAAACGAAGATCAATATTAATTCAGAATGTAGATACAAGAAATTTTACAGCGAAATACAACTAACTAGCTTAAAATTCAATTATTCACCTACAATTACCATCTTTATTGTAAAGCCAATGTTTTTTTTTTTGAGGATTAATTTAACGTTTCTTCATATTCGACTTATTCCTCAGTTATTCAGCTTCAATTACCATCTTCAATATTTGTACTAACTTTTGTACTTTTTGAAAAATTTACTAAAATGCGAAGACATTGCTTTTTCAAGATTTAATTTAACGTTACTTAATTTTTACCAAAATTTACAGATTAACAATTACTACACCATACAAAGTTTATATAAATTTCAATTACATTTTCTGTTTGCTATGTTTTCTAAGAATTTAGATGACAGTTAAATAATAGAATGAATCAGTTGATGTTAAATAATGTAAGAACGTTGGACGAACTCGAACTCGGCGTTAATTCATATTCGACTTATTCCTCAGTTATTCAGCTTCAATTACCATCTTCAATATTTGTACTAACTTTTGTACTTTTTGAAAAATTTACTAAAATACGAAGACATTTCGAGATTTAATTTAACGTTACTTAATTTTTACCAAAATTTGCAGATTAACAATTACTACACCATACAAAGTTTATATAAATTTCAATTACATTTTCTGTTTGCTATGTTTTCTAAGAATTTAGATGACAGTTAAATAATAGAATGAATCAGTTGATGTTAAATAATGTAAGAACGTTGGACGAACTCGAACTCGGCGTTAATTGCGTTCGAATGAAACATTGGGGGCAATAAAAATCCGTTACGTATTTGCACCCTAATTTGAATCGCATCGGTAATGTGTATTTACTAATGTAAATAAAATTATCCCACCGACGTCGGTGACTTATTACTCATAATGAATATTTCAGTAGGGGTCAAAATGCGAGGGTGTGGCCGACAGATTTACAGGCGGAGGGAGGCGGCGGCGTCAGCGTTTGGGGCTGAGCGAGAAATTAAAATCGGAACGTAACTAAAATAATAAAAACGAAATCCGCTCGCAAACCTTAGCCGCACTAAATCATTATTTTAGTAGCTAATGTCCGTTTAATGATAGCTTTCTGACCCTGTTTAGTAGTTTTCTTCTTTTTTTTTTGTTTTGTTTTCGAGGGGTGGCTTCGATTCCGTTTCCTATGTTTTTCGTTTGTTTCACACGGGGAACCCCCTCGAACTCAAGCGATTGGTAAAAGAACGTAGGCTAAAGTCGTGACCTGCAGCCACGTGGCTCGGCGTTGCGTCATGCTAAATTACCTGACATATTTGGTTATTTGATTCTCGCTTCGCATGCGATTGTTTTTCCCCAAATCGGCCCACTTCGAGCGCAGAACGGAAACTTAATCGAGGACTTTCTCCTAATTCCCTTCTGCCGTTCCGGAGAATTATCAACCGTATAAAGGACGTCGTTTGCTTATCACGTCATTAGGTAATCACCGAGATTCATTTAGCTCGATGGAAGTCATTTCGTGGAAATTAAATACGTTAAAATTAGCGCAGAAAGGAAGCATTCGATATTAATCTGAAAATAGTCTAAAAAGAAAGTTAAAGATAATAAAACTTGGAAATTTATTACGTAAGTCTAATGTCGTGTCCCAGGGATGGTTTTCTGGACACTGTGGGATATCTTCTTCTGTTGTCTGTTGTGGAGCCTTAGGTTTGGTAAATAATGAATTGAACGAATTTTACTTTTGGTTTATTATTAAAATATTCTTCAAAGTGTTTGCTTTATTGTGGTTCTTCACCCAGTAGTTGATTGTTTAGCGTTCTTCCTAAGACTAATTACAAATCCTTACTCTACGTATAAAGTTAACTAAGCAAGGGGTGGGAGTTTGAGGAGTAAGCACGATTTTGATAAGACTGCTCTTATACGGATTTTGCCAATTCTGCGTCTGGTTGAAAATATGAGCGATGTTCTTTCAGTAGCTGGTCTCGATGAAAACTACCTTTATGATGATGTATATATTTATTATGGCGACTAAGAGACACTATATTAACAATAATAATTGTAATAATAACGGTTGGACACAACACTACCTAATACTGATTATAAACTATATTCGAAAATTCTATCATTAATGAAAATAAAATTATACATAAATTGGATTAAATTCAACGAAAAGATTAAAATGTAAATAATGCACACGATTATTTATACACGAAACCAAATTGATGTAGTAATTTATAAAAATTCTTATCTAACAAGTACGATTTTTCGTATGCGTTGTTCACGCTATTTTTAGGAGATTTCTATCTAATTGGTGCTAAGACATAAAACTGAATTTATAAAAAAAATATTTATAATTATCAATAATTCAATAAAAATAAACGATATAATATAAATTTAGTTTAATTAATTGCTAATTATAAGAATAAGCATTCATTTTAGGATATAGTAAATTCTGAAGGTATGATGTGTATGGTAATGGCAGATACAATTAGTGTGTGGAATATTATATGGATATTGAGTGTTCTTCGAAAATGTAGTCATTTAGACATTGATTATTCAAATCAGGATCCAGGTGTAAAAGAATTGCGGGAAACGGAGTTTTCGAAGCACGAGCCCCTCGGGCATTATTATTAAATCGGCGTTTCAATTAGTGAGGCGGTTCGTGGTCCGACGAAAAGCGGGGGTGAACACTATCTGTACTAATAATAGAGTAATATTTATTCATATTAGCCGGACGGGGGGGTAATAAGTGTTTTTATGTAAATTACTATTAGCATGTGTCAGGGATCCAGGTGCATGCGACTAAATCATGGCAGAACATGCGTTCGTTTCCTTCCGCGCATTTACATGTCGAGCCACATTTGAAAGTCAAATTTTTGCTGTTGCTTTCGCCGTTGTTGTTATTGTTGAAATTGTGTGTGTTTCCAGGCTCCGGGCAGATACAGCTGTGGCAGTTCCTCTTGGAATTGCTGAGCGACTCCTCGAATGCAGCGTGCATCACATGGGAAGGCACGAACGGTGAATTCAAGCTCACCGATCCCGACGAAGTCGCACGCAGATGGGGCGAAAGGAAGTCCAAGCCCAACATGAATTACGATAAACTCTCAAGAGCTCTGAGGTAAGACACAATTATTCAATTGTTCATTCTTCAAGAACATACCAAGTTTAAATTAGAATACTATAAGTTGATTGAAATATGTATTAGGATTTTATGACCTATTGAAAAAAGTCATCTAAAATAAGACAGAAATGTTATTAAGGTTATTATGGATAATTGAACTGTACTTTACAGTGATGACCTATTTAGGTGTAGGTGGTAATGATAAACAAAGCTTGCTCCGGACTTGAGGGTTGGAATGCCCGTATGTAAATCGTAGGGCAACGTTATTAACATATTAAACATTTACGGGCCGTTTGTTTCGGACATCTGCATGCATGTATATATGAGTGTGTGTGTATGTATGTATATAAGGGCCGGTGTATTGTGGGCCGAAGCATATTAGCGTGTCCGGTGGTAAAGTCCGGCGGCGAGTTCCGGGCCCTGAGTGTGCCGGAGACTGCCACATCCTCCGGATTCCGCCGTCGCCGTTCTTATTGATTTCGCAATTATATCTGCAGCCCGATCCGGAAATTGTATGTCCGTCTTTCCATCGCATCCCATGCAACAGACTTTCTTCATCCCCCCTGGGTTCCGGCTTGGGGTCGGTGAAGCGGTGGGGACTGAGGCGACGGTTCACATCGAAGCCTTCTCCCAGGGATCTAATGGACTTGTTGGATCGAGACGTCGCGCATCCGAACTCTCTCCATTCTTCGAGCACACACCAAGAAGTTGCGTCCATTCAAACTTGAAACCGTTCTTCAAGATTACTAGCATTGTCCCATTATCCCTATTATGCAATACTCTTCGAAACTTTAAATGTTTGTGTGCTCCGACAATAAGTAAGTGTTTGGAATTTAACACTTTTCGTATATTCTTTATTGCATATCATATTTCCAATTGAAATAAAGTCCATCATTTAAGTCGAATATGTCTCAAGTTTTGACAGTTGCATTTCCGGAAAGTCACAGCAACACAGTTCGCAAGATATGTATCTCTGGATCTTCTAATAACAAAAGGAATTGCCGAAACCAGGGATCGAACCAGGGACCTTTAGATCTTCAGTCTAACGCTCTCCCAACTGAGCTATTTCGGCCGGATATATCTCAATTTTTGACATTTGCATTTCCGGAAAGTAAGAGCATCAAAGATAACAAGATATGTATTTCGAGATCTTCTAGTATCAAAAGCAATTGCCGAAACCAGGGATCGAACCAGGGACCTTTAGATCTTCAGTCTAACGCTCTCCCAACTGAGCTATTTCGGCCGGATATATCTCAATTTCTGACAGTTGCACTTCCGGAAAGTAATAGCATCAAAGATAACAAGATGTGTATCTCCAGATCTTCTAATAACAAAAGAAATTGCCGAAACCAGGGATCGAACCAGGGACCTTTAGATCTTCAGTCTAACGCTCTCCCAACTGAGCTATTTCGGCTTCATATTATATATCTCCATCCATATCGCTCACCAATGGAGAGGCATATCTCTATCGATTCGTATAGTAATTATAAAGTCGTTTTATCTTTCCGCTTTAAAGTTCCGATCGCACGAGACCTACCAGTTATTTTTTTATTTTTATGCAACGTTCGATCAATATTGGACGGAATCCGAAAATAATTTTTCATTTGTAAAACAATCACGTCGCGATGAGAAATGGGGAAAAATGGCCCTGCTAACTGCGTTATCCGCTATCGGCCGCTAATTGCCGCAAATGAACAGACTGGGATTGCGCCCTTCGCTATTTTCAGGGAGAGAGAGAGCGATCGGCCAAACGAAACGGTGCACCGTTCCACCCTCGTCCCTTCCAGCCAGAAAACCTCTGATCCCCTGGCCAATGTAGCAAATGCCATTTGCCGGCGAATTGGATTGCAATAGGACGAGTTATGTGTTCTGTGTGTGTATGTGCGTATTTTTTTTATCTCGTTCCCTTTTACTATTTCAATCAACAACTGTTACAATGTGTGTGTATTTTTTTTTTGATCTCATAAGCCAATTTCTCATCCCCTATTTTCGTTCTGTTCTCTGTTGTTCCATAGGTACTACTACGACAAGAACATAATGACCAAAGTCCATGGAAAGAGGTACGCGTACAAGTTTGATTTTCAAGGATTGGCAGCAGCCACGCAGCCGGCTACCAGTGACCCAGGCAGCTACAAGTACCAGAGCGAGTTGTTCATGAGCTCGTACCATCACAGCGCGAAGCTTGGCGGATTCATGAGCCCTCACGCTACCATTCCCAGCTCTGCAGGTCAGTACTAATTACCAATCGACTAATTACCACCTCCCCGATGATCATTATGATCATCATTTCACCAATACATCATGATCAACGAATTTTGACACTTAATGATGTCAGGGCTCACCCTCTGATTGAGCATTGTTCGAACGTCGAAAAAGAGAAAGGGGACCGAATTATCCGTCATTTAGCCGTCCTTCTCCCTTCATCCATCCACTACATAACGATATTTCGCCAACTCCGTCACAACA